TTTCGAATTTCATAAATATCATAATAAGCTCCTACAGAACAGCAAGAACAAATATTAGAAATCAGTACAATTAGAAGAGAGAGAGAGAGAGAGAGAGAGAGAGAGTGAGAGACAGGAAGAGAGAGAGAGAGAGAGGAAGAGAGAGAGAGAGGAAGAGAGCGAGAGAGAGAGGAAGAGAGAGAGAGGGGAAGAGAGAGAGAGAGAGGAAGAGAGAGAGAAGAGAGAGAGAGAGAGAGAGAGAGAGAGAGAGAGAGAGAGAGAGAGAGAGGAAAAGAGAGAGAGAAAGAAGCAAAGAAAGAGAGAGAAGAACAGAGAGAAAGAAAGAAAAAGAGAGAGAAACAAACAAACAAACAAACGAAGAGAGAGAGAGAGAAAGAATCAAAGAGAGAGGGACACAGAGAGAGAAAGAAACAAAGAGAGAGGGACAGAGAGAGAGAGAGAAAGAGAGAGATGGAAAGAAAGAAAGAAAAAGAAAGAAAGAGAGAGGAACAAAGACAGAGAGAGAGAGAAAGAAAAAGAGAAAGAGAGAGAAAGTCAATAAAAAAAGAAGAAAAAAAAGAACAAGACATAAATTGAAAAATATAAACAGCATACCAGAAAAAAAATCAGACAATGAGAGACACAAAGAAAAACACAAAACAGAAAGAAAATCGAAAATACGCGACTGAGCTTGTCTTGCAAATAAAACAAAAGCGAAAATGAAGAAAGAGAGGAAGAGAGAACAAGAGAAAAATATCAATTTTATTTATTTATTATTTGTTTTGTTTTGTTTTGTTTGTTTTATTTGTCGGTTCAGTTAGAGGGGGAGGGAGAGGGGAGGAGGGACTCATGCACTCAATCATTTTTTTTTTTTTTGTAATTTGTTATTTTCTATTTTTTTTTTTTTCATTTGATGAGTTTTAAAGAGGGTTGTGGAAAGAGAGAGAGAGAGAGAGAAAGAGCGAGAGAGAGAGAGAGAGGGGCAGGAAAAAACATAAACAAACACAACTGATATCAGAGAATGGAGGATAATAACAGTAATAATGATAACGATAACAATAGTGACAATAATAATGATTATGAAAAACTACAATAGTAATGATAATAGTAATGATGATGATAATAATAGTAATAATAATAATGATAATAATAATAATAATAATAATAATAAGTAATAATAGTAAAAATAATTATGATGATAACAGTAATAATAACAATAATTACGATAGTAATAATAGAAATGATAATGCTGAAAATAATGAGAGTAATAATAATAATAAGTAATAATAGTAAAAATAATTATGATGATAACAGTAATAATAACAATAATTACGATAGTAATAATAGAAATGATAATGCTGAAAATAATGAGAGTAATAATAATAATAAGTAATAATAGTAAAAATAATTATGATGATAACAGTAATAATAACAATAATTACGATAGTAATAATAGAAATGATAATGCTGAAAATAATGAGAGTAATAATAATAATAAGTAATAATAGTAAAAATAATTATGATGATAACAGTAATAATAACAATAATTACGATAGTAATAATAGAAATGATAATGCTGAAAATAATGAGAGTAATAATAATAATAAGTAATAATAGTAAAAATAATTATGATGATAACAGTAATAATAACAATAATTACGATAGTAATAATAGAAATGATAATGCTGAAAATAATGAGAGTAATAATAATAATAAGTAATAATAGTAAAAATAATTATGATGATAACAGTAATAATAACAATAATTACGATAGTAATAATAGAAATGATAATGCTGAAAATAATGAGAGTAATAATAATAATAACAACCATGGTACAACCAATAATAAAAATAACAATCATCGTACAATCAATAATAAAAATAACAACAATGATAATGATAATAAATTTTAAAAATGATAAGAATAAGAATTGTTCGTGTGTGTCGATGCGAAAGCACTTGCTCGCGTGTATGTGTGTAAATTATATAACAAAACTTTCAAACTACACGAAAACTTTAATGTTACACATAAATAACCAAAAAAAAAGAAATAAGACAAAAGAAAAAAACTAAGAAAAACAAAAAATCCAGAAAATTTTCCAACGCCTCATAAAAAAAAAAAAAAAATCAGACCAAACTAAAAATAAAAACACAACGTCAACAGCAAATCATAAATAAGAAAATACCGTCAATGAACCAATGAGTTCGGAGCGTTCGAATCCTTAGGCGTGAATCTCCGAAGCCTCGAGAACGCGCCACTCAACGAGAAAGAGAAAATAACGGGAAAATGCATCCGTTTGTCTAATCTTCGAGGCAATTAATCTTATATCGTATTATTGACTAGCGATTATTATAAAACAATAATGATAAAGTAATGAAAATACTAATAATAGCAAGAGAAAGAGAGATAATGAGACAATAAGCAGAACCAAGATTAAATCAGGTAACGATCTCAGTGATGATGATGATCATGATAATGACGATAATAACAATAACGAAAACAGGAATAATAAGACTGATAACAAAAGAAATAATAAGAATAAGAATAATGTTCGTGAGCGTGAGGGTGTATGTGTTAATGCAGGTGTGTGTGTGCTCCTCGCTCGCGTGCATGTGCGTAATTAAACCATCAACAAATCTTCAATCTACACGAAAATTATAATTCTCCACAAAAATAGCGTAAAAGAACAGATATAACCGAGAAAACAAAATCTATATAAAGAATACATCAAAAACACCATCATCACAACAACAACAACACCAAAAAACATACATCAACAGCAAATCATAAAAACGGACAATACCGTCAATGAACCAATTAGTTCGGAGCGTTCGAACCCTAACGCGTGAATCTCCGAAGCCACATGAACGCGCCGCCAAAACAAGAGAGAAAAAATAAGTGGAAATACACCTGTTTGTTTAATCTTTGGAGAAATCAATAACGTTTCATAATGTGGACGAAAAATTATCATCAGTGATAATCATATCAATCAGAACCATGGCAATGATGATGATAATAACAATAATAACAACGAAAAAATGATGATGATGGTAATACTATTAATAATAATAATAATAATAATAATAATGATAATAATAATAATAATAATAATAATAATAATAATAATAATAATAATAATAATAATAATAATAATAATAATAACAACAACAACAACGACAACAACACTAACACTAATAACTAATAATACCAATGATAATAATGATGATATTGAAAATAACAATGATAATGATTATGATAATAACAAAAATGATAATAAGGACAATAACAATAATGATAATCTAATAACAACATTAATAATAATAGTATGATGTTGATAGTGCTGATGATTGTAATAATGATAATAGTAACGATGACACAATAACAACAATAATAACAATAATGATAATATGATAATAATAATAATTACTATAAAACTGCAACAATAATTCTGACAATTATGATAATAATGGTGATAACAATAATTCTAAGAGTAATAATGATAACAATAATAATGATACTACTGTTCTACTATTATCATGATAATGATAATGATAGTTATGATGAAAATGATATTGATGAGTAGGATAATGATAGCAATAATAATAATAATAATAGTAATAATTGTAGTAGTAGTAGTAATCATGACAATAATGATAATAATAAGATGACTATAATGATAATAATAACAACAGTAACATAACAATAATAATGATGAAAATAATAGCAATAATAATGGTTCTCACAAGAATAAGGATAACAACAATGATGAAATTAATAATGATAACAATAATAATGATCAGAGTAATATTGATGATCATCATAGCAATAATGATGCAATTAATGGTGATAACAATAACAATTAACAATAATAGTATTGGTAATAATAACAATAACAGTAACAATAACAATAAAAACAATAACGATAATGATGATAATAATGATAATGATAATCATAATGACATTAGAAATAATAATGATAATGACAATAGTAACAACAACAACAACGACAATAATACCAAAACCATCAAAAACGATCATAAAGAAAATAACAAGAAAACAGGAAAAAAACAGCAATACCAACAAAGTGTAATGAACGAAGACCAAAAAAAAAAGAAAAAAAGAAAAGAAAAGAAATCAGGCTATTTTTAACCCAGCCGCCAGCCAAAAGGACTTCGGTCAATAAATAGATTGCACTGCAGCATACTCGAATCCCCTTTTCTGCAGCGAACGAGGAGGAGGAGAGAGGGGGAAAATGAGGAGACGGTGACCAAGGAAATGCGGAGAGAGAAAGAGAGAGAGAGTGGGAAGGGAGAGAGGGAGAGAGTGAGGGGAGTTGGGGGAGGGAGGGGGAGGAGAGAGAGAGAGAGAGAGAGAGAGAGAGAGAGAGAGAGAGAGAGAGAGAGAGAGAGAGAGAGAGAGAGAGAGAGAGAGAGAGAATGGTGGTAAGGAGAGAAGAGAGAGAGAGAGAGAGAGAGAGAGAGAGAGAGAGGGGGGGGGGGCAGCGAGAGAGAGAGAGAGAGAGAGAGAGAGAGAGAGAGAGAGAGAGAGAGAGAGAGAGAGAGAGAGAAAGAGAGAGAGAAAGAAAGAAAAAGAAAGAGAGAGAGAGAGAGGAAGAGAAAGAGAGAGAGAGAGACGAACGGACAGGCAGACAGAGACAGTGACAAAGACAGCGAAAGATAGAGCGAAAGAAAAATACACTAATTCCCTTCCCTGTCAAAACCCGAATAGCGTATCATAAATATCATAGCGCTTTCTGTCTGGACATTCGCTAATGGAGCCAAACAATTTTCTCAGAGCTCTTCGGAAAATTTACCATTGCATCCTTATTTAGCCTTCCCTTGAACCTGACAAGACCAAATGGAGAAATAGCTTAGTTCTAAATACCTATGTCCATCCATCCATCTATCTATCTAAGGTCAATAGCATGTAAGATATGCTCAGGCTGTTTCGAAATTGGTTTGTTTACTGCGCACCTGAGCTGTGACGTCACGAACAAGGGATCGAGCCATTCCGGTTAGAA